AACATAAAACCCATACTTAATAAAAATTAAGACTTAAGGGTTTTAATCGGATTTTTTGTGGACTTGGAACTCTCTCATTTTTGAAAAATGGGACTTGGAGATTTAAATTTTGGAGTATCGGGACTTAAAATAATTTTTCAAAATTTTTCTCATTTGAAAATAATCGGTACGAAAAACGGACACTGGAACACAAAATAGGCTTAAAAAGCCATTTGGGCCGGGCTGCCAAACACTTGCCCAAGACTGCCCCACATTTGGGCTTACTCACACACGCTTTTGGGCCGAAATGCTGGCCCAAATACAAGTTTAAGCGGGCCAGAAACTGGGCTGCTCGCGGGCCAGGTTGCTGAGGAAGACGGGCCGCTCGCGGGCCAGAATCGAGCCTAGCGGCCCGCGTTTAAGCTGGCCTCATAAATTAAAAAAAATGAAATTTTTCGCGAGGGTTGAGATTCGAACCCCACATAAACATGCACATAGCTCACCACTGCGCCACTCGATCAATCGATAATTATTATGCAACAAAATATACTAAAGCTGAAGCTAGCAAACTGAACAGAAAACAGAAACTCAGAAGACGTAATCGAACAGAGCAGCAAGGTACGACAACATCTACAATTTCTGGGCAATCTGAGATCGCGAAAGAGTCTAGATTTACGAGAATAACAAGTTTTCAGAGTTTGAAAATATATTTTGCAATCGGGTTTGCTCATAAAACAAAAACGACCAAAATAACACCAAATGAACGACGGGGCTCGAACAACCCGTACAATCTAACGATCGATTGAAATGACAAGATGAGACTCCGAACTGAAACGATTTTATCACAGCAATCTAACGATATTCATGGTTATGAAATCGAGAGTTCCAATCACTTCCGAAAATTCCACGTACGAAATATACATATAAACAATTAAATGAACCAAAAACAATCCGACTTCAAATCAACTTTCGGTAAACCGAACACATCATATATATAACGTGTGATATATGAAAACGACCGTATTAACGAGAGGATTAGAATAAGTTACCCGACTTCGGGAAACTACGAATTATTGAACGGGAAACGGGCCAAACAACGGGACAGCCGAACGACTTTGGGACTCAAATGCTCGGACGGGACTTGGAATTCTCGGACCGGTGCTAACTGCGAACGATGTCCACGTACAGAAGTTCTTCACGACGGACGGCAATGGAGACTCGCTGCGAAACAAAGGGGGAGAACTCGCCGGAGATAATGGAGGTCCACGGAGTTGCAGGCTTCGCGATTTTTTT